AAGGAAGGAAGGAAGAAAAAGAGGAGGAAGGAGGGAGGGAGGGAAGGAAGGAAGAAAGGAAAAAGAGGAGGAGGGAGGGAGAGAGGGAGGGAGGGAGGGAAAAGAAAGAAAAAAGAAAAGAAAAGAAAAGAAAAGAAAGAAAGAAAGAAAGAAAGAAAGAAAGAAAGAAAGAAAGAAAGAAAGAAAGAGAAGGCGGGCGGAAAAAAGAAGAGAAGGAGGGAGGGAGGAAAAAGAAAGAAAGAAAAGAAAAAGAAAAAGAAAAAAGAAAGAAAGAAGAGGGAGGGAGGGAGGGAGGAAAAAAGAAGAGAAGGAGAGAGGGAAATGAAAGAGAAAAGGAAAGAAAGAAAGAAAGAAAGAAAGAAAGAAAGAAAGAAAGAAAGAAAGAAAGAAAGAAAGAAAGAAAGAAAGAAGAGAAAGAGGGAGGGAGGGAGGGAGAGAGGAAGGAAGAGAAAAAAGAAGAAAGATAAAAAGAGGAGGGAAAAAAAGAAAGAAAGAAAAGATCCGTGTGGAAATCAAGGATCCCTCGGCCAAGAAAAGACGTCGGGCCGGGGAAGGGGTGATTTCCTGAAGTGGTACACCCCAACCTCTGCCTGGTACTCCTGATTCAATCATTTTTGCGGAAAAGACGAATCTATAAAACCGCCCTGAAAAACAACGGTCAGGGCCCCCCCCCCTCAAATCCCACGAATAGGAAGCGCTGGGGAGAAGGGCGGGGCAAGAGCCAGTGCGGACAATGCCTGAGGTTTCCAGAGGGTGGGGCGAAATATTCCAAAGAGAAGGGGCAGGGCGATGGAGACCAATCAGCAAGCGGGAGGGCGGAGCTAGAGATCAGCTCAGAGCCCAGGGGGACGGGCGGGGGCGGGGCGGGGAAGGAGCCGTTCGGAGCGTGGCGTTTGCTCTTGTGTTAGCTCGCACGTGCACTTCTTCTTGTGCACTTCGGAGCTTGCTAGCCACGATCAGGACCGGCTGAGTTGAGAGTCTCCCCACCACCACCACCACCACCACCATATTCCGGTTCGTCTCCGGTGTTTCTTCTCCGATCTCCGTTTTTGCTCTCGAATAATGTTGAACCTTGAATATGGTCTTGGATGGCTTATCAAGGAGAGAAGCAACCTAGACCCAAGGAGAAATTTCCTGACTGTCAGAACAATTCACCAGTGGAACGGCCTGCCTCCAGAAGTTGTGAGTGCTCCAACACTGGAAGTTTTTAAGAAGAGACTGGACAGCCACTTGTCCGAAATGGTATAGGTTCTCCTGCTTGAGCAGGGGGTTGGACTAGATGACCTTCAAGGTACCTTCCAACTTTATTACTATTATTACCTCCAAAGTGCCTTCCAACTTTGTGATTCTGTTATGCTTTGAGGTTGCCGGCCCCGTGGAAGAGGAATGTGCTGGGAACTTTCACCCAAGGCTTTGGGATCAAAATCCTCCCTCTCCCCTCTCCCTCTTTCTCTTCCTCCCCTTCTCCTTCCCCTCCTCCTCCTCCCCCTCCCTTTCCCCCTCTTCCTCCCCCTCCCCCTCCCCCTTGCCCTCTTCCTCTCCTCCCCTTTCTCCTTCCCTTCTCCTTCCCCCCTCCTCCTCCTCCTAGAATGATGTTTATCTCTGTAATTATTATTTTTTTGTTCTGTGTGTTCTTTTCTTGTTTTAATATTTTTTAATCATTTGTAAACCATTCAGGGTTGTTGGGAGTCAGGTGGTATAATAAACATTTTAAACAATGATTTTTAATTATACATTCTTGTTTAGCGAGCCATTGAGAGTCCAGCAATTGAAAACTATAAGTCTGAATAATACATTGATTAAT